GGGAACGTCCCCGTGTAAACCCTGTCGGGTGTAAACCCTGCCAGGTGTAAACGGGTGCCTTCTGACTCGAGCGATTCTGCCCCTGTGTCGCCTTGTCGTGAGCCCGGCTTGACTTTCCCGCGCAGTTCCCCGTAGGGTGCGCCTTAGGTGAAAAAAGAAAAGGAAAATGAATGGAAAACGGCCCCCGGAGCACTTCTGCAGGCCCAGGGTGACCCGTCAGGGTCGCTGGTGGGGAGGCCACGGTGTGTCTCGGGCTAAGCTCGCGTGCTTCGGAAGTCTTACGAGCCAGTATTAATTGCACTTGTAAACTTCCGAAGGACATTTTGTTCCCTTCCAGGGGCTTTAAGCCAGGAGTGATCATAGAATCATAGAATCATGGAATGGTTTTGAAGGGACCTCAAAGATCATCCAGTTCCAACCCCTCTGCAGGGGACACCCTCCACTACACCAGGTTGCCCAAAGCCTCATCCAACCTGGCCTTGAACACTTCCAGGGATGGGCCAGCCACAGCTTTGCTGGGCAACCTGTGCCAGTGCCTCACCACCACCAGGGAAAAATGGTTGGACTCGATGATCTCTAAGGTCTTTTCCAACCTAGAAATCTATGAAATCTATGAATCCAATCTAAATCTCAGTTTAAAGCCATTGCCTCTTGTCCTGTCACTACACACCCTTGTAAAAAGCCCCTCTCCAGCTTTTCTGTAGCCTCTTTAGGTACTGGAAGGTACTGGAAGGTCTCCTCGGAGCCTTCTCTTCTCCAGGCTGAACAGCCCCAACTCTCTCAGCCTGGCTCCAGAGCAGAGGTGCTCCAGCCCTCGGATCATCTCCATGGCCTCCTCTGGACCCGCTCCAGCAGCTCCATGTCCTTCTTGTGCTGGGGACTCCAGAGCTGAATGCAGTATTCCAGGTGGGGTCTCATGAGAGCGGAGTACGGGGGCAGAATCACCTCCCTCGACCTGATGGGGAGAGCTAAGCTCTCCCTGCCCCAGTGTCCCGCTGTCCTGGTCTTTCTGTCTGTGTTTGGAGAAAAAACTGTTTCTCAATCCTGCAATAGGCCTTGCGATATGGAAGATATGTATGTGCTCGCTTCCAAGTACTTGCCTAAGACCCGATGGAGTCATCACGTGCTGCAGGTTAAGCGTGTTTTGGAGTGGAGCCCATGGTGTCTTCACCAGGTAGCGGGTACGGAATGCCAAAGCATCATGTTAGAGATTTGTGTTTAAGGCTACTTAGCTTTGATCTCAAGTGTGAGGAGGATGAGTCTTGTGAGCAGTGCTGGCCAAGGGACACATTCCGAATGGGATATAGAAGCCTGCTTTTAGAACTTCCCTTGTCAAAGCCACTTCTACACGGTGTCACAGAGTGGGACCCTGGCCTCTGCTGCTGTGAGTCATCACCGAGTCCAAGGAGCAGGAGCGAAGAGCTGAAAGTTACCACTGCTTGCATCTAAAATGTTGAGGCTTTTAATGCCTTTAATTTGCAAACTCTAACTTCTTGTTAGTTTTACTTGTTGTTGGAAGGGTGATTATGCTCAAAGATGTCACGAACAGCTGAGTCTTCAAAAGCTAAGGAAAAAAATGACTCTTAAACTCATGTGTGGAAGACCTTAATTTATCTCCTCTGTAAAAAGAGGGAGAAGCTGTGCCCTAGTTGTTTGAGTCGTGCCCACTACTGGCTCTGTCTATGGTTTGGAATGACTGGGGCGTGTGTATGTGTCGGTAGACGTGTCTCACAAGGCAGTAAATACTGTGTCAGAGTCCCTGGTGCTGCATCCAAAGGAGCAGATCTCAGTGATGCAAAGCACTTGACCTGTACAAACTGATGTGGGAGGTTCAGGAGATGAAATATGAAGAGAAAACGTAAATCTCAATGAATTTTTGTTTTTGCAGGTTTTGATACTTTAAGCTTAGATTGCATTCTGAACAGATTCTCAGCTGCTCACTCACAGCCGTTTTTTATTTCCTCTTTTCTTTCTTTCTTCTGCCCATAGCCAAAAAAATATGTTCTTACATGTCACCGCCCTTCTTATATGTGCTTTCACTTGGTAGCTCTGGATTTGAACTTTTTCACTGCCTCAGCTGTTGGTATGAGAACTTTGTCTTAGATCTGCTCTTGCACTGGATCTTTACTTAACTCAGTATTCACTTTGGGAACTCACATCTTACCTACTCTGAGTGATAGTGATTGAATACGCATCTCCTTCCTGATACTGAAATTCTAAGGAATGGGATGAGATGTTTTTGGGATTTGAAAACCTGAATGGTATCAGATACCGATTTTGTACAGCAAGTTGTGGCATTTGTACAGCCTCAGATTTAGCTGCTCTCTGTACGATTCAGATTAATCCTTTTTCCTCCAGGACTGGAAACAAGGAGGACTCAAACGGTTTCCTGAGCTGTGGTAGGTTTAGAGAGAGAGATTGTGTTTAGTTCCCTAAACGCGGACCTGCTTTGAGGATCACAAAACGGAGGGGATTCAGGCTGATTTTTCCTACAGAATAGGAAGGCAAGTTCCAGAAGGACTCAGTGTTCCTACAACTGGTTTGGCAATCGATTCGATTGATCCTAAGAGCAGCATATCTTTCAGGGGTTTCAGTCTCCAGAGCCTTGCTTATCCCTGCTGTAACTACTGGCTTCACAGGAGTTATGTTGGGATGGACTGAACACAAACCATAAGTTTTATTTTGGTTTTAGTAGATAATTCAGTCAGTGACTCTGTTTCTTTCTTCCAGTCTCACTGCCAAGGAGAGCGTTCGTTACAGTCTCCAGCGTTGGCTGTTCCTCTGGTTTTGACTGACTTGTGATCAGAAGGAAAATACGGCCCTAGACAACGATACCCTTGGTACTTACAGGCAACCAGGAGCTTGAGAAATGCAGACTGAGGGGCACTTCCAGGCGCGGTTTGAAAGAAAACTGTCCTCCACTTTGAGTGGAGTACTGCAAAGCCCTTGGGAGATCAGGCGGCTACAGTGCAGGTAAGTTCCGTGCCAGGAATTTATCAGGTGTACAATTAAGGAGACTCTCCAAGCCCAAGTGTAGAAGAGGTGCTAACTTGCCCACAGTTGGTAGTTAAAATGCTGAACTGCACTGACTGATAGCAGAAACAGAACACCCAGTTACAGAAACTGGCACCTGAAGTGTGCAAAATCAGCCTTGCACTACCAGAGCTGCTATTTGCCATCTGTGAAAGCGTCTCTTCCGTTAGGACTAAGGTAGCGTGAGGGACAGATGCACCGTAAAGCAAAGATGCCAGCAGTTGTAGTTCCCTCCAGTGCTTCCCTCAGCCCAGCTGCCAGACACGAGCTTTCATTTGCTTTTTTCTCATTTGAGCCTTTTTTCTGTTCCCTCTTAGCTGGGGTCATGGAAAGCTGCACAATGGTGTGACTGAGATTGACTGATGTGCTTTGGCATTATTTTGGAGCTATGTTCCTGTGTTCTTTGGGGAGAACGGGTGAGGCGAGGGTACTGATAGAGCATTAATGCTTCCACAGCTTCCCAGCTGCAAAAATTCTCTTTTGGGCATTATACTGAGAGTAGAAGCATCTCCTCTGCCAGAGGAGCCTTGCAGGCTCACCAGAAGGCAGTCTTTGTTGGCAGCACAGGAGAATTCCTGATGTTCTTCCAGCAAGGCAAATATAATAAAAAATAGTACGCCCGTTCATCAGCTTCCTTTTTAATTTTGTTTGACTATGAATACTCTCAGTTTTTTTCTGAATCTCGTTTTGGATCCGCAGTGGACTGTCAATGGTTATGGCTGTGTCTGCTCTATAAAGTCCTCCTAAGAAAGTAAATACAAACTCTCTGATTCATCATTTATCTGAGCTTTGTTTCCACATGTATACTGAAACTTAAACTGTTGGTTTGAGACCATGGCAGGACTTGAGACTCAAGTCTAGCTGTGGGTGAGGTTCCACAAGGTGTGGTGAGCTAATCTAACAGCTTGCTGCTGCCAGAAGGGACAGGACCACACAGGGAAAGGAAAGTGGGGGAGCCAGACCTCTCTCTTTCTGTATAACTACCTCTTACATCGACTCTGTGTGGGCTGCAGCCTAAAACTGTGGGTCGTGTCTGACTTACGCTGCTGTAAAGTAATTTCCTGGTGTTAAGTGAAGGCAAATGGAGCCGTAGTTTGAGTTGCTATTGTGTTTTCTAACTTTCATTCTCCATGAAGACTTGTCATTGAGATTAATGGCTGTAGTGATGAGATCCTTTAGATTGTGCAATAACCTTCTGTTCCAGTTATTTATATGTATTTATTTATATTTTATAGATTTAAAAAATGTAAGAAGGAGATTGAATGAGGTTCTGGAGTCAGAGATACAAAATTACTTGATGGAAAGGGTTGAGTTGTGTATAATTATGACATGTGACCTGGAGTTAACAGTCTGTCCACCCAGAAACACCTGGTGCAGTAAAATAAGTCTTGTCTAGAGACCAAAGGGAAAGTTTTGCTCTAAAGTCATAGCTAACATTATTGGAAACTTTATCATTGCACTTGCTGCTTAATAAGAAAATATCTTTATTCCCACCCCCAACTCGTCATTTAAGAACTATGTCTGCCTTGCTTCCTCTTTTCCCTGTTTCTTTTCCACTTCCCTGTCTCATGTGTTTTCTCTCTTCTCCATTTTGTATCCACTTGTCAGCACAGTGTATAGTCACCTTGGACACTAAAATGATGGAAAGAGACTCAACTCCATCATGTTAGCTGGGGGTCAGTCCCCACAGCCACTGTTCAAGGCTGCCAGAAGCCTTGGGCAGACACTACATCGCTTGTATTTGGTTTGTAAGTAGAAAATCACCACCACTGCCAAGGGATTAAAAGGAGCACAGGGCCATGGGGTTAGTCACAGTTTACCTACTGGAAATTCTGATTCAAAAACATATATGTAAAGTAAATCATGTTGGTCAAGTCCTGCGTCCCCTTATTAAATAATGTAACACAAGAAACATTTGACTGGTTTTTGGGAGGTGAGATAGGCTTGCCTGTTTTTTCCCCCTAGATGTAGTGTTTCTATGTTTTTCTTCTAGATCAGAACAGGAGGAATCAAAATACCATCTCCTGTTTTTCTGAGGTGTTAAGTGAGGCCAGGTAATTGCTGCTATCATACAAGTGGCACACAGAGCATTTGCCATTCATCCAAATGGCACGCGAAGCCGTGGGGGTGACTGTGTGGGAGTCATGTTCTGTGCCAGCTGGATCTGCGGAAGGCTAACGCCTGCGTGGGTTCGCAGTACGTGGTGCCCCCAGTGTGGCTTCTGTGCCTGCAGAGCGTGAAGCTGCGCAAAAGATTGTAAAAGCCAGTGCCTATAGCTTAGTTTATCTCGATTCTTTTCAGCTTCTCCTGGGGAAGGTTCAGAAAGATCACACTGAAGATGTTCCCTGTCCTGAACTGGCTTATTTCATATCGGTTCAAAGAATGGATCTTGAGGGATCTACATGCAGGCCTAAGTGTTGGGATGTTTCAGATTCCCCAAGGTAGGCAGAGAGAAACAAACACTCTAGCTTCCTTTTGTATATCATGTTTTTCATCATCTGTCTCCCGTGTGTGTTTCTGTTCTTTCTAATGGCATCAGGTTATGTGGGAACTTTAACCTTAGAGTTCCTTAAATCATTAACCTAAGTATTTGTATATTTGCAGAACTTCTTTTCTATAATTAGACATTACAGAGTGTAATTTCAAGGACAGGACGCTACTTTTTTCATAAAGTTTCCCTCAAACTAACTCAAAATATAGCATCGTTTTCCTATATTGCAAACAGAATAACATGATCTTTAAAATCCACCTTGCAAAGTCGGGTCTGTTGGACACCCACATGCACAGTTACCCCTCTAGCAGGTGGCCTAAATGAAGAGTTGTGGTTCTTTGTCTAATTTCTAGTTAGCAAAGGCCCATGTTGTAAAACAACATTGGCTTTTGTCCCTAACTGGCCTGACTTTATCAGGTCTTGAATTCCCTAAAAAACAGACTGTGGGAGTTGAATGTCCATCTTGCTCACTCATTTGGCGTCTTTAGACCCAAACTGGAAAGTGGCAGGTAAGTAAGCAAGACCAGCACTCATGCTGCCTATGTGTGGTGATTCTGTGAATAAATATAATGGGGTTTTCATCAGGGGTGGCAGGTTTTCATCAGCAAAATTTTGCTTTAAAATAGTAAGCAAAGATAGAGAGCCTTCCCAACTTGCTTGATTTTAGAAACAGACTTTTGCTTTCCAGGACTTTTAGGAGCTTGGCTGACCAGGTTACCTCTGCCAAATATCAATGTCTTCCTTTCTGCATTCTTCTGCTCGATGACATATGTTATATTTGGGACTTCGCATCATATCTCAGTTGGTGAGGTTTATTTTGTATTGTGAAATGTTTCTGTAGGACTTAAGAGATTACGTTCAGTGCTGCTTCAAAAAACTGGTGAGATGTCCTAGTCTATTTCATCTAATATGCAGATGTTCTATAAGTGAGAATCCAGATCCCTACATTCTCAGTTCATTGTTGTTCCGCTTCTGCAGCTGATCTGTGGTGAGAATTTCACCAAGTCAGTCACGTTTCAGCTGTGAGGTCCTTTGTGCCCCAAGGACGTGAGCTGTCACAGACACCAGTGCAGAGAAGACACCTGGAGTGTCATGGAGGCATCTCCTACGTGAAGTAAAGGACCAGTGCAAACTGCTTCACATTTAGCCCCAGGATGTTGCTGTGAATCATTGTTTGGCTCCTGGTCTTCTCCATGGTCTTCTACATGACTGAACTGCTGATGGGTTTACATTCTTAATTTGTTCAGAGGCTAGATTATTAAAATGCTGTTTACGTGTGAGAAGGCCCTTCACATGATCATAATGAGTGGGTGTGTGTTGCTCTGGCCTCTTAGGTAAATTGGCAGTTCTTTCTCTGACTGGTTTTCAGCCTTTCTGGCAGCTCATGGTAATGCATCCATTTTTTTTGTGCTTTACATTAAAATCTTTCTGTCATGCATCTGACCAACTAAAGGTTTTGCTTGTAAAACAGTAGGAATCTGAAATTTTCAGACAGGACTTTGGAAACTTTAGGTACTTACTCAGAAACAGTAAAAATCGATTATGTATGTGGATTATATACATGGATGAGAACAGACTGTCTCATACTGCACAGACTGATGGTGGAGGGAAGAGATGGATGTGTGGTTTTCAGATAAGTCTTTGTTGCAACATCTCATGCGGTTCCATTTTCTGTTCTCTGTCCTGTTAGTTCCAGGCTCATTCAGCATCCTAAATATGGTGGTGACAAACATTCTGAAGACTCTTAATTTCAGCCAAACGTTGTCCTCTAATGGTTCACTGGACAACTTCTCAGACCCTACATTTATGAAGGATTACATGGAGACCTTGACACTTACTGCATCAATAACATTTTTGACTGGCATCATTCAGGTAGAAGATCAATCTATTTTATATCCTTAATGATGTATCCTTCTGTGTGTTCTTCGTACAAAGGTAAGAATTGGTGCTGCTTGCACATTCTTACCACGAACACTAAGCTCAGCATATTTGAATACATACATTGTGCAAAGTGGGACCTGAAGGTCTGTCTCGTCCTCTCGTTCTGTCTGAAGAAGATAAGATTCGTGTGTCCATGATTAATACGTGTGAAGTAAATTATTATCTTTTGTGTTGACCAGTCCTGCAATGTGTTGACCCTTAGGTAGCCCTGCATAACTGCACACACTTGATGTCAAGTGCTCCTATTTTGGTTTGGCAGTGTCTTACTTAATTGTGCATAATGCAAATAGTGTGTTCAAATAAGTACCTGTCACGTGTGGCAGTGAGGAGTCGTGCTCTTCAAATATGGAAACAAGAAGGGCAGGGTTAGGCACTGATAATTGTATCACAGAATCATAGAATCGTCTGGTTGGAAGAAACCTTCAAGATTATCGAGTCCAACCATTCACCCTGCACTGTCAGGGTCCCTAAACCATGTTCCTCAACACCACATCTACACGGTTTTTAAACACCTCCAGGGATGGGGACTCCACCATCTCCCTGGGCAGGCTGTTCCAATACTTCACAACCCTCTCTGGAAAGAAATTTTTCCTGATATCTAACCTAAATTTCCCCTGGCGTAATCTGAGGCCATTCCCTCTCGTCCTGTCAATGTATTGCTTCTGTATTGCTTCATGCATCACATCTTGCTTCTCGTTTGTTCCACACAGTTGCTGCTGGGTTGCTTTTGCCTGGGGTTTGTGGCAACGTACGTGCCGAAGACTCTCATTGACGCTTACCTCTCTGCAGCAGCGTTGCATGTCATCGTATCACAGTTTGTCTTCATCTTTGACGTCATGCTTGACTTCCACAAGGGCCCCCTGGGCATTTTCTGTGTGAGTAAATTCATTATTAGTCGAAGAAATGGGTGCTTCTTGGCAAGGTGAGAAAAGAGCAGCTTCAGAATTTGGATTTCAATCTAAGTCAGTTGCTAAGGGATATTTGTGCAAGTCTCAGCTGTGGTTTACTTCGCCTTCCTGTTGTCTTGAGCAGTGTGTAGAGCTTATTGTGTGACTTGCAAGAAGAACAGTCCGTGTGTATTTTTAATTGCTTATGTAGCACTGTAATATGTTTTCAGCATGTCTGTAATTGTAGGAGAGCAAAGGTTAGAGGAAAAGGTACTTTTTGCCTGAGTAGTTCATCGTGGGCAAGCTATGGGGCACACGGTATCTTTATCATATCTCACAAAGAAGCAGCAGACTCCAAGCCAAAGATAAGTTAAAGCTAATTCATCCTAATTCACTTTAGTAATGTCAGTCAGACAGCCTGAGAGAACGGTAGCGTAGAAGAGAGAAGATGATGGTACTCCATCTGAGCTATGTGTGGCAGTGCTTTCTCTGTAGATACCAACAGATAAGAGAGATTTTTAAGTAGTTTTGCTTTTAGCATCTCTCTTCTAACCAAAGATGCTACCGTAGCAGAAAGGAGGAGTTCAAGTGTCAGGGCAACCAGTGTTAACCTCCTGGGATATAGAAAGAGTTGTAGTATCTGCCTCTGATCCTCTCTATGATGATTCTTTTTCAGAACCTATTTCATTTCCTCCTGGCTCTCCCAAAGGCTAATGCCACCAGCATATTGCTATTTTTGTTTAGCATGGCCGTACTACGAGTCAATACATACATCAAAGTAATTTATAAGCAATGTCCTATTGCATTTCCTATGGAGCTTCTCCTGGTGAGTGATCTCTGAAACGCCTTTGTGGTAATTGAACTAACAGAGAGTATAATCTACTTTCCTTCAAAAAACATTTTGCAAGTTACTTTAGGATGCTGTTATAATTACACTCTGAATCTGTGCTTAAGTCCTTTAAATATTCCTACAGGAGTAACTGTCTGTAGATGTATTGTGTACAGTTTCAGGAGCAAATGCTGTGTCATCTCCAGTGTTGCTTCTTGTTTTCTTTCCCAGATTATCACAGCCACCATTATTTCTAATTGCATTCATCTTCATGCGGAATCTAGTAGTGCTGTGATGAGTGTGAATCCTCAGAGGTCAGTAATATGTGCTGTTTATGAGCTTATACTTTTCAGATACCAAATAGATGTTTCAGCCTGTTCTTGAGATCTGACATGGGCTGACTTTTACTGGGAAGGACAGCTATAGGAATAACTCTTCAAGAATTTTAATTGCATCATCATTTCTGAGCATACGCAGAACTCAAATTCCAGTTTTCTGTATTAGATTCAGGGTTTATTAGCACACAGAGGAAAGAATTTGCATTTTTGTGAGGTGGAAGTCAGATTGAGACCATCTCCTGTGGAGTGCTGGATGCCTCCAATGACAATCCTGGGTTTGGAGTGACTGTGGACAGAGCTCAGAACAGGTCTAAATTTATCTGTTCTCTAATCCTGTAGGTTTCTGCCTCCTACACTGCCAGATTTATCAAACCTGAGCACGATCCTACTGCATGCCTTCTCCCTTGCTGTTGTGAGCTACTTCCTTCTTGTTTTTGTTGGGGAGAGGTACGCTTCACGTCACAACTACAGTATTGCCAGCAATCAGGTGAGAACAAAGCTACTTCTTCGGTCAAGAAGCAAGCTGAACTCGACTTGCAAAGCCACTAACTACCTGCCAGTGATAGAATCATAGAATCATAGAATCATAGAATCATAGAATCATAGAATGGTTTGGGTTTGAAGGGACCTTAAATATCATCTAGTTCCAACCCCTCTGCCTTGGGCAGAAACGCAAGGATGGAGTGAATATGCCAGATGATGGTTTTGTAGCAACTTGTTACCCTTCCTATGGAAAGTGGATGTTATAAGCCAATAACGTGAAGGCCAAAACATGGCCTTCTTTGGCGAAGAGGCCTTTGTGTATTCCCAGTGATTGGGATCAACCTCCCACACACAGTGCTGCAACTGATTGCTGTGGACCGTTGCTGTCAGGAATCCATGAGGCTATAAAAGCATGATAAATTAATAACTGAAATTGTAAATGGCCAAAGCAGCTGTTGTTCTTCTCTGTATGTGGCTGCTATCCCAGAGTATGGATTCTCTGCCCGGAGCGATTGCTCCGAGAGGCCTTTAGGCTAAGGCTTTGTTAGTTTCCAGCGTGCTGGAGTTAGTAAGCATTAGGTGTTTTGCACTACTCCATGTTTAGCTTGTTGTGATGGCTTTGGATCTTGACTAGAACGGAACTAAGCCAGTAAGGAAGCTGCCCTGACTTCTTGAAGCCTCTGGGGATAAATATAAAGAGAATGTCTTTTCAGCTCAGCTTTTGTCCAGGTGTACTATGCTGCATACTGAGATCTGCCATATGTTACCTTGAAAGTCGGTGCTTCATAGCTTTGGGGTTCTAAGTGGATTTCTTTGAAAGAAGGAACTGAATCTTTGGGTCCATGCGATCCTCAGCTGGGAAAAGAGTGTGCCTTTTAAGAGAGCTCATTTCACCATGGGAGACCTTGCTTTCCGAAGGTTTCCTGAGCTTAGCAATACAGATGAGCAACCAGCAAGTATGAACAAAAGGAAAGGGATTCCTGATAAGCTGCTTCTATGAAGGTAAGTCACTAGTTTGGGGTTTTCTGTGCTTCCGTTTCTGTTTTTGTTTTACAGGAGCTAATAGCTGTGGGGCTATGCAATATTTGCAGCTCATTTTTCAAAAGCTTTGTTGTCAGCTGTGCTATTTCTGGAACTGTCATTCAAGAGAAGACAGGTGGAAGAACACAGGTGAGCTGGGCTGGATTTTTTTAAGCTTCCAAACTGTTATCTAAAATCCCTGTATACTGAGGATAGGCTGACATTTAATCGAAACAGTTCGTGAGATACACGTGTCCAGGCAACATGAACTCAGGTACCCTCTGTATGTTCTATTACATACTGTCCTTACACAATATTCACAGCACGTGATGTGCCATGAAGGAGGCCAGGATCCTGTGGGGAGAATGGGATATGTTCATGCAGTTTAAAACTGTATTTTAGTGAATATACCCGAAAAGCCAAATGGAAAATTGTTCATGCACCCTTAATCCTGCCACTTCTTCCTAACTTTTGAGTATTTCACCTTGTGATCTTTTTTTTTTCCCAGTGGGAAGGAGGGTGTAATATGTAATAATAATATATAAGAATGTTTTTATCATACCTCTTAACTGAATGTCTGTACACACTTCACTGCAGCATAGAAATAATTTTGTTTAATAAAGAGTTTATTCCAAAGTCTGACTTGCAAAAGAAGTATCTTATTACTCAGGTGAAATTATCAAACCAAAATCCTTTGTTGCATTGTTCTGTTGTGCCTAATAGTCCGTTTAGGTCAAATTGATATCTACAGAAAACTCCTTCAGCTTGAGTATTCTGTTTGTACCACGCTTTGCCACATACCTGTGGCCTTTGTTAATTGTCCCCTGGGTATTTTTCCCAGTCGGTGGTGTTCCATGGGCAATACCTACTTGTTTAGAGGGGACAAGGGAGGTTGGCTTTGTCAGGCCTCTCTAATAAAGTATTTCTGTTCAGGTAGCAGCAGTGATTGGAGCATTTGTGATGCTGGTGATTGCGCTGAAGCTGGGACACTTTTTCCAGATGATACCTAATGTAAGTGAACCTTAAATAGTTATGGCAGCAGCCTACTTACTTCTTTCCTAAGCATAAAATGAAGATTTTCTAAGCATAATATGAAGATTTTGCTGGGACAGTTAGAGATTGTATCATGCTCTAGAGTTAATTGTTTTCAGGGATAGACCAAACCAGAACAATGACTTTAAACTCTCCTAAATTTCAGCAGGCTAACATATTGGGCAATAAATATTGCAACCCTCTCCCGTCTCTCACTGATCAGTACAAGCTCAAATTCATTAGCTAAAACTGTATGGAAATTTCACTTCCAGCCTCTACAATTTAAACATTGTATTTCACTTTTGGTTTCACACAAAAAAGGAGATCTCGCACAGCTGTATAACAAATTCATGAGTTTCTCTCTTGCACCAGTATAAGTAGTTCCAAGATGGGCACTTCAAAACCTTTAATATAAAGAGGTAAATAAAATCTTCCAAATGGAAATCTGGGGTTAGTGTTCCTGATTCGAGTTTAGTCTTTGAAGTTTATTTTAAAACCATATGGAGTCCTAAACTGTCTTGTGTGAATTTTGCATTGCCAGTGCAATAAACATAAACATTTTTTTATCGTAGATTATTCAGAGTGCTCAGTTTTCCACTTTTCCCTTAAATTTTTTATTAGACTTTCTTTTTTTTCCTGTAAGTTTTCTCAGGGAACCACTGACAGAGCATTGCTTCCTGATTTTTTCCTGGCCTTTTTGTAAGATGGGAGAATTAATCCCTTACCCAAAACTAGCTAACGAAGCACAATTTAACCACCTCCTTCCTTTCAGTCTCCTTTTCTTTGGTAAGAGGCAGTTTCAACAAATGGTGTCAAGCAACTTCCTAGATCTGGCAATGAACGACCCATGCTAATTGAAACCATTCTTTGAAACAGCAAGTCTTAATTCCGTAGATAGCGTTGGCCTTTCTCCTCGCGCCGCAGGAAGCGTAGGGATTCACTAAAGAACACTGGAATGGAAACTACACAGAGCGTTTGGAGAGGAAGTCCAGTCGTATGGGCAGAAGTGATTGTGAAATCAAACATGAAATTATGTGCTAGTTTCACGTTGGTTTGCAGATCAGAGGAGAACTCGTGTATCTGTAAAAATTATGGAAATAAAGCTATGATGAGATCTTTATTTCAAGCAGCTTGTCTGTCATGGATGTCTGCCCCTTAGCATGTTTGTGGTTGCAGACAAAAAAATAACAAAAAAATAACTGCTGTTTTTGTGATTTGCACAGGGTATACTGGCTGCTATTGTGGTATTTAACGTGCTCCCTTTTCTGGAAAAACTTCTGGACGTCCCCATCCTGTGGAGACGGGATAAGTATCACTTTGTAAGTGACAAAAAAAAATCCTGCCTAGGATTTGGAATGCGTCTTAAAGGGAGAACTGGATGTTTTGGGAGGGCAAGGCAAAGCAGTGGCCATTCCCTTAGAAAAAGGATCCCTTGAAATACCTGCTGAAAGAAGTGTATTGAAATCTCTTCAAATCAATTCGCAATTAATTCTATAAAGGGAAAACTGATTGTTGTTGTTGCTTCCTAGATTCCCTAAGAAGGAAAGTGTCTAGCTGCCAGCTTGTGCCACATTCTCACGTCAACTTTTGTGCAGGATTTCTCACAGAGAGAAAGTCCCCCAATATGATGTGGTTTTTCCTAAGAACCAAAACCCTGTTAAAAAGTCTGGAGATTTGAACTGTGATATGTGATCCTTGTTTGCAACTACTTCCAGGACCGAGTTGGTCCAGATATGCCAACAAAGCTTTTCACGTTACCATTTCTAGCCTTTTATATTGTCTGCAATTTGCAAGTGCTGGGGCTGAGCTGGAGATCATTTTGCATCTTTTTCCCGCTGATGTTCTCTCTGTCTCTTGTTCAAAGGTTATTTGGCTCGTAACTTTTGCTGCAGTGCTTTGTTTTGGTCTTGATGTCGGTTTAGTGATCGCCATGGGATTTACGCTCTTCGTAATCACCATCAGGTCACACAGGTACTTGTAACTTTTAAAACAAAATACTAGTTTTTTTCAGAGTTGATGTTTTAGAAAGTTATACCTGTGACGATGAAAAAGCTGTTTCATGGTTGGAAACACTTCAGTCAGGTCATTCTGGAGTCTCTCTAATGCTATCCCAAACCAATAATTCTGGGTTATTGGTTTATGGGCTGTGGATTGGTCTCTTCTGCAGGTGTGCAATGCTGTTGAAGACTGTTTATTGTGGTGTAGGCGTCAGTCAGGAGAGGTGATCTGTAAACACAGATAAAAGGAGATGTTGTGCCTTTATTTCAAATACATTCCTCAGCCTTCACTGCCCTTTACCAAGTTGCTTTATCTGCTCTGTAAGCTCAGTTCGTGATAGGGAAAGGAGGTTACATCAGGCACACATTACTCAGTTTATTCCCTGCTAATCCAAACAGGAAAATCGTTCATAAATCCAAGCCACACCTCAAGAGATTTACCATGATAGGGAGTCACTTGTCTGAGTAGACTGAAGCCTCTAGAATAACATGGAAAGAGCTAGGAAGTAAAAAGATGAGCAATGACCTCCAACTCAGTTGCTGCAAATATCAAACTGCTTGTGATCCGATGCAAAGTGGCTCTGAATGAATACCTTCAGGAAGAATTTCAGTTCTTCCGCCTGGAACTCACTGTATTACTTCTGCTAAGAGTTATGCTCCTGGGTTTGCCTTGGGATTTAATAAGCATTGTGAAAGGGCGTTTCTGCAGCCACTGTTCAGTGAGGTATCCCTGTTGTCCATGCTACCTTCAGGATATATAGCCACTTACCAATTTCCTACCAGTAAGAGCATTTTGCCAACAGCACTCCAAAAAGCTTGGGAAGTTATCTGCAAACAGATTGCTTTGAGTAGAGTGTCTTGACAACAATTTTCTGTATATCAGGGCGAGGAACCTGCCAGCCAGCCACACGTTTATTCCACCCATAGCCTAAACCAACCAGAACCTGCCCCCAAACCACACGCAGCACCATTAGCAAAGCCCAGTACCCACACTGAGATATTCTCCTTGGAGGCAAAACCCTGCCCTAGTGCTGCCACACAACCTCTGGGTCAGACCCAAACTATGTGCTGCCAGCTCTAAGCACGAGTTATAGCTGCCTCCACCTGTCTAGATGTGTCTTTGAGGAAGGCTGTGAGGAGATGGAGAGGGAACATGCTTCCTAGTGTAATAACAATAATCTGAGTGTTCCAGAGCTAGAAGTGGGGCATCATACATTCTTGAGGGCACCAGTGTACCTGAAGGCTGTGTTTGTGTACTGCACCCCTACTCAAAGAACTCGAATTATGAGTGAATAACTCTTTGTACTGGCACCCTCTAAGTTACAGTTGGTGTATCCAGTGTAGAGGAGAGAAATGGAGATCAAGCTTTTGGGAACAGATGGTTTTTCTCTGTTCTCTGTGAAAACCTAATAAACATCTTGTTTCAGAATGAAGATGGCAGTGCTGGGACAGATTCCAAACATGAATATTTATAGAAGTTTATCCGTCCACAGAGCCGTAAGAGGAAACAAAAAACAAATGTTCCATCTCTTTCTGTAATCCAGCTTCTTCCTTTAAATGCCTTGGGGTGACCATTCAGACTCAGGTCACTCGATTCAAAACTTTGAAAACTGAAGAATGTTTAAGTATCTGTAGTGTGAAGTGATGCAGATACCTCGCTCAGCCTGCTTGGAGCTCCTTGTGTCCCTCTGCGCGGTCTCACGGTGGAAGCACCACTGCTGTCACTTCCAGAGCTGTTTGGCACTTTTTGCTGACCTGCTTTTCTCACTCTGCTTTTCTCTATATATGTTTTCACAATAATGACTGTGCATGTGCTGGACTGACTGACAGCTTCTCCTGGTGGGGTGGGATAATAGGTGGGGCACGGGCCTTTTTAGCACGTTATTTTCAAGATCTGCACCACAGCGGGTTAGGCAGTACAGCAGTAGAGAGCTTTGCCTTGGCTGCATGGGTACGTTCTCATGGAATATGGAATAATATCAGGACAAGGTTAGTAAGATAAGGATATAGTATATTTTTCTGTAATGAGCATTAAAACCAATTTGGCTTATTTTATATTAGAGCAGAAACCTGTTGTCTGTGGTAGATCTGCTGGAGGTATGTTTTCTATTGCCAGTGCCGCTATCAATATGCAGCGTAGCCAACAATGTGACCAAGACAAACTCTGTCCTTAAGACAGGACCTTGCAGACTAGAACAGACAGTCAGGAGGGGAAAAATAGCTCCTGCTAGGTACAGCCCTCACAGATACAACTTTTGTTTTACAGGCAAGGGAGATTGAAGGTATCAAAATCTTCCAGTGCTGTTCTTCCATCTCTTTTGTAAACATGAATCACTTCAAAACTTACTTGTTACACAAGGTAAATGCCACTTTTTCAGTCAGTGGAAGTTTCCAAGAGCCTGCATTAGGGAGATAAAAACTCTAATAAAACTACCTTTCTTTTTCAGATGGACATGAAAGCAGTGCCTCTAGATGAAAATGAAATGAGGGCTTTAATTTCACTTAATCTGTCTGACACTGCAGCAGAAGGAAAAGATCTTAAATGCTCTTGTGCGTGTGATCCACCTCTACTACCACCTAGGGTCAGCTTCAAAAGTATATTTATCTGGTCGGTCTGTTTGAGGTGCCTCCTTCTCTGTTCCTGAGGACAATGTTCTTAACTTGCCAGAACTTAAAAGGCTTTAAATGTTTATATAAAGCATATATATATATATTTGCTGTTTGAAAATAAGCAAACATTACCACTGTATCTCTTTACACACACTTTGTCTGATAGAGCAATAGTAGCTCAGCTTTCTGAGTGAATTAACTAGCAGTTGAAGTATTCAACATATTCTCTTCTCAACTGAAAGCATTCATTTTGTCAGGTGCTTCTGTAGAGATTTTCTTCTTTTTCCCCATAGAAGTGAGAGAATTCTTTCGCCTAAGAGGAATTTGTTCCACTGCCAACACTGCCAAGCACGAGTACAAAATGCCTCAAAGGCAGTTATGATTATTGTGATCAGAAGATTTCTCATCTTTACTATAATTGGCTGCTGTGCATCTTCTGGAGCCACTCATATCCCTCTTTATCTGAATTTTCTGAATTGTCTCAGACAATGAAAGGAACTTCAGGGAATAGACTGTCTTCAAAAGATATTTTTCAAGCAGTTCTATGTGATTTGTAAAAGCCATTGTATAAGAAATGAGTTGAAAGACATCATCTTCTAAAGTACAAAAATGCAGATAGTGACTTTTCCTTTCTTGTGTTGTAAAAATTAAAAAACACATTTGGAACTGTTAAGAAAGAAAAATTGATTAAATCAGTCCATGCTGTGACCAGCTGCCATACAAGAAAGGAGATGAATCAAAGGTCTGCAGAACTCAGCCGGGAAGGGTCAGCTTACTGTTGCTCAGAAAGGCAATGGTCATGGGCAATATATTTTTTTCTCTTTTTTCTTTTCTGGAAGGTAGAAGTGACAAGTCAGATTCCAGTAGCACAGGCCATTTCAAGGTGTGGAAGAGTAAGGTACCACTGTACTATTTGGTGGCTGCAGGCTCTCTGCTTAACCACATGTGAGGCTTGCCTAAGTCACCTGCTACTTTGCATACTCTTGTGGCTTTGTCCTATATTTAGTGTTATTTCAGATGTGTTTTTTACCATGAGAGAAGAAATATCATGGGATTTACAAGGCTGTCTTACTTGCAGCAAAAAATTTTCCACCTCCCGGGCCCAATTCTTCCAACCACTGGTGTGTTCTCCATTTTCCATCTTAGATACCATATACAGAGAAACTGGTGAAGCGGTGTCACGCGGACAGCGATTCCTCATCATCTTCAGTTAATTTGGTACATTGGTCCAAGTACAGAGACACACTCAGCTCCAGGATGCTGCTGATGGGAGCAGACGATGCACAGCACGTGTCCCCAGGCTTGAACACGGGACGTGGGACTGGAAGGAGCGAGGATGAAGGGGGAAGCCTTTCACCAGGTTCTGCGATAGATAATTCCTCAGTATGCTTAGACCATGAAGAACAGACGGTGCATTTGCCAAGTCCAGTTCACACCATTATTTTAGACTTTGGCATGGTGCAGTTTGTGGATTTGCTAGGTTCAGAGTTACTGCGACAGGTAAGTAACCTGACTGCACATAAATGTGAAACTCGAAGTTTACCCAGTGGCTTTTGCTTCTCGTTAGCCTAAAACGCCCTGCACCATCCGCACATCTTCCCCTTGGCCTTTAAGAGGGCAAGATTTAGCTACTGAGTTTCAGAAATCGATAAATTCCCACAAAACCACTTCTTTTTAAAACCAAAAGCCCCGCTATTCACACAGAAGACATGCAAAAACCCATCATCCATTGTCACTAGTTCTCGAATAATGTAAACTAAACTAAACCCACATTTATTAAAATGTCGCATTTGGTTTTTCCATTTTGGCTGTTCATTTTTTCTTCTGGCCGGATGCTTAAAAAAAATGCTCTTCTTTAGAAGTGTCAGATACAAAACTACGAGCTGTCTTCTCCTAGAGTGATTTTTGTTACTGCTGACTGCCTCGTTACCCTTTTCTTTGAAGTATACCTTCAACTTTTAAATCTTCAAGTGGGGAGCCTAGCCAATGGAGATACATATTTAGCAAAAATAAATTTCATGGAGCTGTCGGTGCTTCTCAGAAAGATACAGTTCCAGATGGATTCTCAGTTGCCTCCCTCAAACTCTGTAGCTCAACTTCAAAGGATTTTTATTTAACAACAGGTTAGACTAACACCTGTTGGGAATAATTGTGGACTGAGCTGTTGTCCCTAAAATCCTTGAAGATTTATTTGCCATCCATCGAATGACCCTCCCATTGGGAATGGAGGATAAAGTCAGAGTTTTTCCAAATTCCTTCCAGCCACATATTCTGAAATCCTGTGATTCTCTGAAATAATGAGTTTCATTGCCTTTAAAAAAAAAAAAAAAAGTTAACTACTTTGAGATCTTTTAATTACAAAGGGTCAGGCAGTGAGAAAATGGTGAGAGTCTATCCCCTCTAAAATCTGATTCCTTTAACGCTGAGTTGATCTATCTAAAAATGTTGGACATGAAAACTGAGACAAGCAGAATTACAGGTCACACTTGAAAATCTAGGTTCCTATTCCGATTTACACATGGGCATGGCATCTGCGTGTGGAGAGATGCTTCAGGTTGGTCTGTTCCTGTGAGAACTTCTCGTTTAAGCGAAGAAACAACCCTGTGCGTGCGTAAGTGAGCTGTAGGAAGGCCGGCATGGGGGCTGGCAGTCACCTGCCCTGCTTCTGGAGTCAGTATTCCTTAAGGTCTTGGACAACTTGGCTGTTTAGTGCTGAACTAGAAAACTGGATCTAAGTTACTGGAACAATGGTTTTCTTCAGAAAAAAAAAACCCAACACTACAGGGGAGGTTTTATTTCCCTGTTTATGTTTTATCTTTTAGTACACCTGTGTAATGCAGAATTGCTCTAATGCCTGTATGGAATTCTTTTCACAGATCATCCATATGTTTCACAACATTGGCATTTCAGTCCTTATAGCTGGCTGTCACTGTGAGTATGCTATTTGGTTACTAATATTGACTTATCTCCAAGGATAAGTTTGAACTTAAGCGAAATGTTTTAGCCGTACTGCTTGGTGTGATTTTGCCGCTTTGTTTATTTTCCCCCAATTTTTATAGCCTCTGTGATAGCAGACTTGGAGAAGAATGATTTCTTCGACAGCTGTGTCACCAAAGAACGGTTCTTTCTAACTCTTCATGATGCTGTGCTGGCTGCTTTGGACAAGCATCCAAAGCCAGATGAGCTAGAACTTACTACAGAAGAGTTTGCTGAAGAACCAGCAGCTGAACAGTAGAAGGTAGAATATTTAGCTTAACATTCAAGCCTTCATGTTGTTAAAATATCCTGTCAGTAACTTAAACTTTGTCATGGGGCTGAGGAAATAGGGCAGAGCAGATGCTCTTTTGAATTCTCCAGTTTTTCACAGGTACTTGCCTTTTTGCAATGGATCGATAATCCAATTTGTTTCTTTGAGTCCCATGTTCCTGTTTGGCGAAAGGCATGTTTGTGTGCAGGCTGGAAAGACACCCAGCTGAGTTTTGCTACAGGGAATGACTGTTGCATTTTAAATTGTTTCCATTTCTCTGACTGAGCAAGGAAGCATACCAGCAATCCCTGAATTACAAGTGTTGGGGAGTTGGGATTTCAGTAGAGAGGAGAAAGGCACAGTTAGGCAACAGCCTTCGATGTTTTTTTTTATTTTTTCTGTTCCAAAGTTCTTAAAATAGACAGCCTGCCTAATTAATGCTGTTGTTCTAAACAAAAAGCAACATTTATGATCTTGCTTTCAAGCATGTTCAAATAGATGTGCTAGCCAGCAATGCTGAAAGCAGAGAAATTTCAATGTGTTAGATAACTCCTAGTTTTGTAGCTAATTCTAGCAAATTATTTGTGCTTGTTTTCTGAAATTCTGTAAAAGTTTAAATGTCCTAACTTTGCACTTCTTGTTTATTTATTGCTTGCTAGGAAGTAAAATTAATCTGCCGTATTTCAACAGATTACATGCAGGTAGTTTCATTATTTTCAGATGTATTTAGAATTATATGAAGCTTCAAACAAAACATTTTGTTATTACTCTTCAACACTATGCTGAAGTTGATATTGTTGACACTAACATAATGTGGTGTCGGTCCATTATTTCTTCTTAAGCCTCTTTCTAATCCACCAGAACTAAATTCCAGTAAACAATATATATTTTTTATGTTTTTGTAGTCCTTTACTGAAATAGTGAAGAACGGAGGAACGTATTCACTCTGTTCTGAAGAGCCAGGAAAACTGTACTTAGATACAGTTAGCTCTTGGGAAAAAAATCAACTTAGTTCTATTTTCTGGAGATCAGCCATAGTTTGACACAGGGATATTGGCACACAAGTGTGAATTAGGATTCCACTGAAAGCAGAAGCATTTAACTGTGCCAGCAATACACGTCACAAGGCTTCACCGTGCCCTCACCCTGAGGATTATCCCATGGCACAAATTGCCTAGCATGAAGAGCTGCAGGTGAAATTCGTTTCAGATGGGTGGCCAGCACGGTGTATCTACATCAGACCCCATTTTAGGGCAAAACTTGGATTTAAACGATGGATCTTTTGTGTACAGATCCTGTGCTCTGGGCTGAATTCGTTAGCACAGGAACAGCTCTAACTTTTGCTGCTGGGCATCGTGTGGTTTCTGGATGTGCAGTAACACACAAGGTGGCTCCTCTGAATTCTGCTGCTCCTGGCTGCTAAATTTTAGCAATGATACAACAGCTAATAGGAGTATTAGTATTAATCCATAATGTATTCCAGTGAGTTCTGCTAATTTTTTTTTTTTCATTTAAATTCTTATCGTTTCCAAGTTTCTAGAAGGAAGCCACAGTATTGCATGTGTAAACTGCAATGGTAGAGGATTTTAGGGAACATTACTGTGTAGAGTTGCTTACTGTGGAGGAAACTGAGTCCTGGAACCCTCATACCTTTTGGATTGAAAGACAGGAAAAACTGAAAGCTCAAATGGTGTTGAGCAATTCTCAAACCACATATGCTTCCCTGCATTGTTTTGGACAGTGGCTTCACGCCAAGCTCCTCTCAGCTCTGCTCAAAACAGAGTAATACAAACCCCACAAAAAGCACAGCCCTAATTTCCAGATCCTGTTGGCTCTCCTACGGCAGCCTTGATTTAAGATGAAATGGCATTCCTAGCTGTTGGCACTATCAAAAGTCTCCATTGCAAACTTAAGAAAAAAATTTTTTTTTGGCTTGTTCTGCAAAGTTCCGAATCTTTCCTTCCTACCCCCGTGACTCTGCAGAGTTGAGCACCAGGGGACAACGCAGACGTCAGTATGTTAGCTTTCAAATTATGGGCATTCATGTTGCCAAACAAATACGTCGCTGAGAGGAAGTCCAGACAACCCTGATCTTTTTTCCTTACAGCTGCACGGTGCTGTAACTCTGCTCCCGTGTACATACACAAGGCTTCTGTGTTTAGCCAAGCACAAATCCCTGGACATGGGCTGTGAAGTGACAAAGCATGCACTTCATGGCCAAGGGCTCCACCTACACCTCTAAAAAGCCACAGAAGTTCAAAGGCCTGTCTGTAATCATGTGTTTGTAGGCAGCTTGACGTTCTCACCTGACCTAGTTGCAAAAACTACAGTTGTTTTGTGCACAAAGCAACTTTTTAATGTCCTTCCCAGCTAATGGGATGCCACGATGTTTTCCTAGCTGGGCACGCTGCAGAAACCCAGGCAGCTCTCCCACTGTGTTGAATTAGAGGATGCAGATCCCCAAACACCCACATCATCATTGCAGATGGTGCAAAGTGCATATAACTACTTTCAAGCCTCTTGTCCTTTTATTAACATCTTACTCTGGTGCGTAAAGGGCTGCAGAAGAACACGAAGCAGCTGAGGAACCTCAGGAGTCAGGCGGCGTGTGGCAGCAGCAATGTGCTGCGGTGTGTCAACACTGTGCAGGAAGCTATGAGGAAGGACCAGATAAACCAGTTAGGTACCACCATTGTTCAGGGGCATTTATTCTGTTTTAAAAATCAGTGCCAGGCTGGTTGTGGAAAGATGAGTGTATCTTGGCTTAGGCCTGGCTCAGCAACCCTTTGAGGGTGCTACCCCAGATTGCATTTTTCTATCCCAAATTAGAAGAGTCATGGCAGAAGCTGGGCAAGAGCAGAGACTCCCAGTAATATCTTGCTTCTGTAGGAGACCTCTGCATGAGGCTCCTCGTCCAGACTGTGGTGGCAGCTACTGTTTGAGGGAATACGATACCCATATGCACGTTGGCTTCACTGGGTGGCTTTCCAAATCCGGCCACATGCCGTCTTTGATGTCCTCACATGAAGAAACCCGGCCTAGGCCAGTGGGAGCATGGAACAGAGCGGTAGTCACGGCCGGCGTGAGCACACACCTTGCACGAGTCATTTATTACAAACACGGGACGGCAATAATTTACCTCAAAATTGAGAAGATAACAGCCTCTGTGGTCTGTTTATGTCGTAGAATCATGGAATGGTTTGGGTTGGA